GTCCCACTTAAGTAATCGAGGGTCATCTTCCCGTCTAAGATCCTTACCTTAATCAGATCTTCATTCTTCCTACCAGAGAAACATACTATACATACGAGACCTTTGAAGGCAGAGTTCATGTCTTCCTCATCTTTGCTTCTGGTATATAGCAGTCATTGCCTGACACCTCAGTGGTACTCAGCAAATGTTTCATAATTGCTTTAGTCAAAAAATATTGACAGATACTCTTCTAGGTGGTGAGAGATATGACAGTGAGCAAAACAGCATTCTTGTTCTTGTAGACTTTATGTTGTAGGGTAGGAAAAGAAAGAATGCACAGAAAAGTGTGAATTAGATAATGGTAAGGGTTATGAGGAAAACAAACCAAAGTAAGGAACATAAAAACTGCCAGAGTTGCTATGGAAGAAGTCTTCTTACACAAGGTGCCATTTGATTGGGGACCACAAAGAACTGGGGAATCAAGATTTATGATTATGTAGAAGAACATCTTAGAAAGGAGGAATCACAAGCACAAAGATTATGAGGTTGGAACATGCTTGGATTTTGAAAATTTTAAGGAATAACAGGGATACAAATAAAGCCTCACAATGACAGATGGGGTGAGATGAGATAGAAGAATGACAGATTACTCAGGATTTTATAGTCTATGGTAAGAATTTGGCTTAGACTCTAGCAGAGTTGGAAATCCATCACAGCATTGGAATAGAGGTTGGCAAAATTTGACTTGGATCTTGCAAAATTACTCTGCTGTGTTAACACTGACTATGGGAAGGTGGGGGTGGGTGGCAGCACAGAGGTCGTGGTAAGAATTTGTAAGACTCCAGATATATTTCTAAACTGGAATTCATGTGATTTGGATGTTGTGTGAGGAAAAGAGAGTAACTAAGAATGACTTCAAGAATTTGAGCTTAGAATTTGATGACAGGAGGGAGGCACTGCTTACTAAACTGGGGAGGATTGCAAGATGTTCAGAATGAGGGTTTTGTCAGATAGTAAGCAACAAAGATTATGGCAGCAGGTGGACATGGGAGACTGGAGTTCAGGGCAGAGGGTAGGGCACAAGATGTACATTTAGAAGTCTCAACACATACATGTCATTTAAAATTATGAAACAGAATGAATACCATTGGGGAATCTGTTTTAGAAAAGCAGTGGGCCTAGGGTCACTCTTGCATTTGGAGGTCAGGAAAATAAAGGGGAAACCAGCAGGGAACTCTGCGAATAAGCAGGCAATGAGGAATGAAGGAATCCAAGAAAAAGTGGTGTATGGGAGCCAGGCGAAGACTCTTTCAAAGAGGAGTGATCAACGGTGTCAACTGCTGCTGAGATGTCAGTAAGAGGAGCTTTGTGAAATAAGTATTTTTTGTTGTTGTTGTTGCAGATGTGATTGTGTTTTGATGAAGTTGGGAAAACAATGACGAACTTGAAGTTCTTGGTGGTGATCCAAGTGTTTTTATAATCATCCAATAGTAAGGAATCTTTGTTACATTTGTGAACATTGACAAATACTTAAAACTTTATACTATGTAATTTAGGCGTGACTGGTGGAATAAACAATGGGATTTCCTTGCTGTGAAGACTTCTATGTTGGTTGATCATCTAGAGCTCCTTTATTTGCAAAATGCTAAGAATGTACTTGTTTTAACTTGTCTGAATTCCTTATGTTATTTCCCCCCATTAGAACACTAACCAGTTCATAAAATTGATTAATGTAACTCAGGCACATTCCATTTTCTCTGGAAAAACATAACCAAGCAGGCAGAATAGTTTGAAAAATACTTTAACTTTTTACCCCATTCCCTCATGGTGCTAACGGATCAAATATCAAATGCTTCAGTTCAGAGATTAGTTATGGGGATTCTTCATTGAAAATGCTACAACCTCTATACATTCATTCTCTTGAGACCAATGGATTCATTTACTAATTAGTCTTGTGTAACCGCACAGTCCCCACGTATTAGCAAAATCAACTATGAAAACATATAAGATTTCCTATATTTAAATCATACAATCTATACTTGCTATCTTTTGCAAAAAAGATCGTGATAAATATAAAGCACATAAAATACTGAAACTCAAGTATTCTGTCAGTGTTTATTATAGGTTCCTTAAAGTACAATATATCAATGAAAACTACTCACATTTCTCCTGCATTACACTTTTATGATTTTCTTCATTCTTCTACAGAGGAGAAATTTGTAAAGGGTATAGAAGAAAAAAAGGGGAAGCTGGTTGAAAAATAAAAACCCTGTATAGCTATCTTAAACATAAAAAATGTCTTTTTTCAGAAATGAAAGACAGGAAGGTAAAACAGGTCCTGTCTGGGGGTTGGTATCAGTGGGAGCGGTGGAGGATATAAAGAATGTGTGAAGGAGAGCAAATATGGTAGAAATATTATGTACTCATATATGAAAATGGAATAATGAGACCTGTTGAAATTACTTTAAGAAGGGGAAAGGGGGGATAAGAGAAAGAGGGAGGGAGTGAATCTAATTAAAATATAAGCACTTTTGTAAATGCCACAACGTGCTCTTAGCACAACAATTATATGCTAACAAAAATAAAAATAAAAAAAGAATGATGACTATTTTGGGAAGCTACATGGCTGAAGAATGTGACATTTGACATTATGTGTAGTTTGTATGAAAAGGGGGCATCAGCTTCTATGGTTCTCTTTGATTATTAACAGTGGTCCATATTTCTCATATAAAATGTTCTATATAATGATAAAATAAATTTGAGTTCACAGTCTGAAACTGAACGGAGAACATTTTCCTGATCATAGATTTTTTCTAGGCAAATATAGGGTTTTAAAGGTGTTAAATTTGATTCTCTTTTCTCTTACATTGTTGTGTGTCCACCTTTCTCCTTTAAGGATATACATTTTACAATGCTGTTTCATTATCATCTGTCTGAAATTCATTGATCTTAGTTTTCAGGATGTTTTCTCTGTTGGTTCACAATGAGAGCTCTTGAATTTTAATCTGATAAACACTCTATGCTAAAAACTGCTTGTTTTGGTTCCAGATTAAAAACAAACATAATAACCAAACAACCAGCCTTTACTAAGTTAAAACAAAAGTATATGGAAAGGGAGGAACATATTAGGAACTGGTTTGTGGCCAACTTCCTGATTCACAACCAGGCATAAACCTAAAAAAAGGGCTTGATAGGCTCAGTATCCAGAAACATGGATATATAGACTAAAGGGAAAATAGTTGGTTACATTTTTTTTTTAATCATGGGCTCAAGTTTGCTTTCTCATCCATATTATATTATTTAATGTCATTAAATAGCAAAGAGATTATTGGGTTTCATTATTAGGAAGTAGATAGACCAAGCTCAAACAGTTTCCTTAAACATGGAATGGTGGACAGGGAATATAGCTCAGTGGTAGACCAATTGCTTAGCCTGTGCAAGGCCCTGGCTTTAATTCCTTGCATCGTGGAAAAAAAGAATGAAAGAAAGAAAGGGAAGGAGGGAGGGAGGAAGGAAGGAAGGAAGGAAGGAAAGAAAGCACAGAATAGTGGCAGTCCTCACATCATGAAATTTGAGATTGCTGTGATGTATATTATGAAAAGAAATTTATACATGTTTGTAACAGTGGAACTGCTCTATGGAACTCAGGAAAAGAGGGAAGGGAAAAGAGAATGACTAAGCATCAGTAATATCATAAAACATGATGTGAAGGCAGATGATATAAGGCTATGTATTGAAAGCTGTTGAAAAATGGGGTGAGAGGTAAAGGGGTAAGGAAGAGTAATGGAAGTAATTGAATGAACCAAAGTAAAGAACACACACAGTGTGTGTGTGTGTGTGTAGGATACTAGTGGGAGGAGGGAGAGTGAATGAAGGAGATTTAGGTGAGGGTATATGGTTGATGGACTTCATATACCTATAAGAAACAGAACTAAGAAACCTCTTGCAATTGCTTTTAATAGGGCAGGAAGAGGTTGAGGGGGAGAGACGATGGAGGCAATGCAAGTAATGTACAATATGTCTAATTGGAATTGTCACTATGAATCCCCCCATAATGAATATATCCTAGTAAAAAAATTATACATATAAATTTATGGGAAAAGATCAGTGCAAAATACAGGCCATGGTATATTTTAACTAGAAAATGAACAAGATATGCCTTGGAAACAAAGTTGACAAGTGTGCAATGAGTATATAATATCAGAGGAATTTGGGGGAAGATACATTTTCTCAAGTAGGGATATTTCTTAGCTATAAGTAAGAAGATTTTTTGATTCATATTGTAAAGTGTTTTGTTTGGTGCATAACCATATATCATCACGGAGAATACTTTCAAATCTTAATTGTCTCACTAGGAATCAAGATAAAAGAAATGTAGAGAATTAAAATTATTACATCAAATCTAAATGTTTTCACTTACCACATTATAATATGTCCAAGTGTCACTGCAGAACACTAAGAGATTATTTATCCATTCCAGGATAAAAAGTATCATATGGACTTCATAAATAAAAAATGATCCTAATTCCCTAGACATCTATTATCTTTATATTTATCTATCCATCCATAGGTATGCCTCTATATGCTTATATAGCCTATCAATACCTTTAAGAAAATGTCAACAAAAATCTCAAAATACATTTAAATTCAGGAATCTTTTACTTCTGGTCACCTTCATACCTAATCTCAGTTGTTCTTTGAAATTTTGGAAGTTAATACACATTATCACTCAAATAAGACTAAAATTTGTTAAACTCAATGGTAACATAAGGTTAATTTACAGTACCAACACCAGGATGAGTTGAACAGATTGTTTATCATTGGAGGTTTCCAAATCATGGCCAGATAGAACTATGTGCCTTATAGTGTTATTGACTGTAGACTAGGACATTGTAGTCCTTGAATGGTGTCCAATTTTGGTCTGAACATTTTATTCAACTTAATACATAAAAAATAATATAACTCAGTATCTTCTGGAAGATAAATCTGAATCCCTTAAGAACATAAACAACAAAATTAACAGTTATCAGACTTTGGTTTATTGTAAAATTTAATAAAATTTTTCTTCTAATCCCTTACCCCTTGCTCTGAAAACAAAAGCAAAAACATAATTATTGCTTATTCTTTTCCCCCCACTTTGTCTATGCTACTGCGAAAGAAGGGAGAAAATTTCATTATAATAAATAAAAAGAGATGTAACAGAGAAAAATAAATCAGTCTAGATGAAGAAATATTAGGAGCAACAGAAATATCATTAAGCAGTTTAAAAATAAGCTTCTTTTAAAAGGTTGCCTTATTTAAAAAAATCACACCAAAAATATAGCAGCAGAGAAGTATGCATACAAGTTAATTGCACACCAGTCCCATGCAAAAAACTGGCTCATTAGCTAAAGCAGTAGTACTCAGAATCCAATTTAGGATGCTTTGGCAGTGCCTGTGAGTCCTCTATTATGGAGCTATCACTGAATTGGTCCAAGTCTGATGGGGTCTGATGGCCTGGAACATCATCTGCCAAAGTGTCCAGATAGCTTCCTACAGAGATGCCATCCAGCCCATCACTGCCATCTTGTAGGCTATTGTAGCTGCCATGTAAGGAGGTGCTCTGACTCTCCAATAAACTGCACAGGCTGCCACTGAGGCTGCTGCCTCGGCTGGTTATGGTGGCTTTCTCCTCAATCATCCACTTGATGGACTCAATGCTCTCATTGATGACAAGCAACTGGCGCATGAGCTTGACGTCTGTGGCTCTGAGGTTAACCTATGGAGGGGAGAGAGGAGAAAGCCATGTCAGTTATTGAACATTCTTCAAAAAGCCCAAATGCATTTGTATTTTGCCTACTGTAGTACACAGTTTTAAATTCACAAATATAAGTACAATGCATTTGATTTTAAGATCTCTTTTGAGGTGTTGACCCCTGGTCAGAAAGAGTTGTAACCAAAGAACTCACTTCCTGCCAGATGCATCATGCTCCAGAGGATTGATAAATTTCCCACTGCATCCCTGACCCTAACCATGCTGCCTGAACATACTGCATTGAATGGCAAGTTCTCTGCTAAGAAATGTATTATCTTTCCAGTCAGATTAATATTTATCCATATTTACATGGGAATATGTGCGTGAATCCTGGGACATAGAGAGCAAACATTAAGGAATCACAAGCATCACAGCACTCTCTTCTCATGGAGTGATAATGTACCAGGAATCATTATAAAGGCTCAACATTCACTAGGAAAATCTAATGACACTATACTACAGGGAATATTATTTCTCATTTTATGGATGAAGAAACTGAAATCTATAGAAGAGGTGAGAGCACAGAAAAGGCCTGCATTCCTTATTTAGACATGTGGAGTACTCAATAATACTTTTGCTTTTAGGAAGAACCAAATTGCTCTGTATTCCCTAAACCCAAAAGAATGCTAGTACACTAGGATGGTCTAATTTACACAATGAAGTTTACAAATAGTTCTGCAAATCTGATTATTTCAGATCTTTCAGGGGCCCCTGATCAAAACTGGGATTTTTCTTTATCAGAAGAAACTAAAATTCCCCTGTGTTCCATTTAGGTGTGTGTGGTCTTCCTGATAATTCTATGCTACTTCAGAGAAATCTGTCTCCAAAACCACAAAGCACAGTCTCTGTATGTTCCAAAATTTAAAGGGAACATTTGCTTACATAAAGAGTGCACTGGCTTAGGGTAGGGGGTTGTTTTAAGGTCTTTCATGATTGGCCTTGTTCTTGTTGGAATTTAAGAACTGTAGCTCTTGTAAGAAGTCCAGTGCCTGGACTGGGAGGCAGGGACATGTTTCACCATTAGAGGTCCTACTCACATTCATTATGGCTTGAAAATGGATGCCTGTTCCTTCACTTGGGGTATTAACCCAAAAGACTGAGCCATGACAGTTCTCTCTCTCTTTAAATCCATGCTAATTCAGATTTGTGGGTTTCTAGAATTATCAAGGCATTCATTCTTGAGTAACTGAAGTCATTAGAGAAAAAGGAGCCCATTGTCTCCAAAAAGTATGCATTCATATAAAAATATTTCCTGGTAAGGAGTTAATCCATAACTGAAAGTGAACTTTGGATTGAGTGAATGTGAAGGAACAAACATTAGGAGAGATGAAATTTTCATTTATGACTCCAGCAGATGCCAGATTACAGGTTTCAAAAAAAAAAGAAAATATAAGTTTAAGGACAACAAGGATAAAATACACTTTAAAAAACCTTGAATTAGGCTTGGTGATGTGACTCAAGTCTATAATCCTAGCTACCTGGGAGGCCAAGATCTGGAGGGTTGCAATTAGAGGCTAGGCAGGGCAAAACTTAGTGAGACCCTATCAACCAATAGTTGGGTGAGGTGGTACAGGCTTGTCATCTTAGCTACATGGGAAAGCACAAATAGGAGGACCATGGCATAAAGCTAGACCCTATCTCAACAATAATCACAACAAAAATTCTTGGGGCATGGCTCAAGTGGTAGAGCACCTGCCTAGCAATCGTGAAGCCCTATGTTCAACCCCAGTATGCCCACCTAAAAACCTCTTGAGATATTAAAGTTACTTTCTCGTCTTCTATGACACAAAAGCATCAAAACTGGACTGCACAGATGACAATTATTTCTCTCTGAAGTGTTCATGAACAGAAGGACATGAATTCCCTAAGTCTTGAGATGTTTCTCTGTTTATGATGGTGTCTCAATGACCTTGCAATGACTGTGTTGAGGAAGCAGGTTTTCTGGCAGTCATTATTCATCCCCCATTCCCAAAAAGCCATCAAGACTGTGTTCAACTTACAAATAACCTGATATTTACAAATCACTAGCAACAGTGGACTGGTTAGTCCACTGAGAACATAGAAAATCAATGAGTCAAACTCTTACAAAATTCTTTTTTTTGTGTGTGGTACTGGGGTTTGAACTTAGGGCCAAGGCCTCATGATTGCTATGCAGGCACTCTCCCACTTGAGCCACTGTGCCATCAAACTCTTACAAAATTCTCATCAGGATCTATAGCTGATAAACTTCACCATTAGACGCATGGTGCAATGCCAATTGGGTCATTCCAACAGCTCTGCAAATGGAGAAAATACAGATGCATGTGTTCATGCTCTGACTATTTCTGACCCCCACCTTACTCCTTTCCCTTGAAGTAACTCCAGGCTCTATTGCTGACCCTCTTAACCTCCATTGTTCTTTTAGTTGTATCTTACAATATCTCTGAATTTTTGTGCTGTCAAGTACTGCTACTGATTAGCACGTCTTTCAGCCTTTTCTTCAACTAAGCTGTAAGCCCCTTAAAGAAAGAAACCATGCCTTACATTTCCTCCCTATCTCAAGGTCTGTCCTAAGCAATGATTAATTTTTAGGAAAAGTCATAATTTTAGAGTCTGTGAAAGAACAGCTCTTAAGATAGTAATAAATACATGTTCCCAGCAACTATGTCACTCAGGGGTTAAAATGTACTTAGAGTAAATTTTCTGCCAGCAATTTTTGTCATACTTACACAGTGGCTACTTCTAACACAAATTTTTCAATTTTATTGAGCAATAAGAATAAAAGGGGAGTGGACTATGTACTAACAAAAGCTTCCTTTGACCATGAAATGATTTATTTCAATAAGAAAATCTTTTGCTTCTGAAGGCAAAACAATCACAGGCCATTGAACCACTGTTGGAGAAAAAAATGACAAAAGCAAGTCAGTTAGAACGTGTTGATCTGGCTGATAATGATTAAAGATTTAACTGCATCTAACCCTGTGTCCTCGCAGGAGAGTAAACAGCTTCCCTCTGTGGGAGCGATGGGTGCTCTGGTTCACACGGTTGGCTGCTGCTCTACTTCTGGGAGCTCCAGCTGCAGAGCCCTCACCTGCCATACAGGGCTTTCTCCAAGAACGAAGGTGCAGTTATGCTACTGATGAACCTTGAAAGTATGAGCCCTTTGCAAAAAAAGAAAAAAAAAATCACATTGCTCCTTTTTCTAATAGTTGATTTGCCTTCCTGCACTGTAATTCATCTCAGTGTTTGTGATGTCTGTCCATCGACTAAGAACACAGCAGCTTCACCCTGGTGGCATGAAGCCTTGCAGTTCTTTCAGCTGGGGTCTTTTAAGTCCCATGATTTTATATTGAGAGTTGGGACCCTTCTCAAAGTCAGAGCTTAAATGTTACTTCCTTGGAGAGTCCATTCCTCATTAATCATGGTGTCAGATTCCCATGCCTAGCTGTGTTAATGTCTCATGTCTGTTGTTTCTTTCGTAATATATATGACTAGTTGATGTCAACCAGCTTATTACTTGTTAACTGATTATTTTCTGTCCCCATTATGAACATGATGAAAGTAACAGAGTGCAAAGGATTTGGTCTGCCTGGTCACCATTCTGTGCCTAGACCTATAAGAGTGCTTAGCACACAGCAGGTACTCAATCGGAGTATGTCTACTTTTGCTTCAGATTGGCCCGTGTGTCAGAAACCTGGAGTTTGGCTATGAGTCAAAAGGAAAGTAGTTCCTTCTAGTCTTAAAGCAGTCTCAGCCTACAATCTTATTTCTATTCAGTCACAAGATTCACACATTGAGTAACTGGTGGTAAGGTTCTTCCCAGCTTAAACATACAGAGCACATGATTGCATATCTAGAAGGAAGTGGACTTCAAGGCATGAGTCATACTTCAAACATCATTCTGCTTGCTCAGAGGTGATAATAACTAGTTTTAGCACAGCATGTGTTCTGCAAACACTTGAAGTGATTTGAACAAAGGGAACAAACAAGCAGGATGTGTATCCCTCTACCCCCAATAAAAATGTTTGGGCTGATTGATACAAAAAGTTGTCAGTGGCCTTTCCCTCTTCCTCTTCACTTCTCTTCCTCAACTCTGATACTTACAATTTCAGCAATATGATTGATTCATCTGTATACTAAGTTGCTCATGCTTCAGGACTGTGGCATAACAGGACTTTGTACTCTAGGGAAAATGCTTAAATTTCATGCCATTTTCTGACAAGTGATGAACTGGGTTTATGGAGGAATTGGAAATGGATGATCCTGAAAGAGCAAATATTTTTTATGGTAAACTTTTCTAGATCTATGTTTTCCTCCAAAGTATTGTTTTAATACTGAAAAAAATGCAAAGGTTATGAATTTGCATGATGTGTTCCAACAAAGAAACAGAGAGCTGCTCATCAAGTTGACTTCTTTTGTGGTCGTGTATGAGGAATGTGGTATATGAAGAATGGGGTGTGAGAGTCTAGTCTGCCACTGACATTATCTCACTGTGTGACCTTTGGACAAAGTGACTTAGTGTATAGGACCGCAGTTTCCCTACACGTGAAGAAGAATAATAGTTTTATTCTGCATTCCATGAGCCATAGGACTCAGTTAAGGTGGAAAGACCCTTCTGTGAGCAAAGCTGAATTCTGCCCAATGAAAACTGAATTCAATTCAGTAGCTCACCTAATATTTTTTTTTGCATTTTCTATTGAGGTTTTAGATAGTATTTGATAGTATAGATAGTATTTGATAAGAAGATTCTATAGATCAGATAATCTCAGGATTTCCCTCCATTCTGATTCTTTATCTTTCCTGCAGCTATTTGATTCATAAATCATTTTTGCTACAGGAAAATTATGCAGGCTGTAGAGAAGAGACAGAACAATCAGTTTTGCTGCTTAGCACCTTTAGCACACAATGCAGCTGTTTAAAAAACTTGTGTCTAAAGTCAGAAGTTTGAGCTCTGCGAATTTTAATTAACTTATCAGCAATTGTGT